GTGTTTCAAACCAACCATTCTTGTTAAAACGATTTTACAAATTTTTGTACTATATTGCTCAATGACTCTTTCATTTTCGCTTTTTGTTTCTAACCATGTTATACATTTACTCTCTGAAACTGCTCATATTCATTTTATTCCAACTTCAACCATGGATCTTCTTTTAACCCTGTTTATTGTACTGACGTGACAACTCTCAGTCAAATTATGTTTTTGGCCTCTCCGCCACTAGAGCTCAAAAAGGATTAAAGCATATGGAAGGATGCAAAGACAGGAAGCGCATTTGGTTTGTTCAGTTTTTAGTAGATAATTAATCCACAAACCTTATTCTGGTGTTTAATGAAAGATCTCAGAGTATCGATTTAACATGACTGGATGTCTTGTCCCAGATTCCAATAACCCTTTGTATGAAGACATGCCTCCTGTCCACAGATGTAATTGCACTTTCCCAAATTTACAGGATTAGAGCTAGAAAAGTAAAAAAAAATGTTTTCTAGTTTTACCCATTTCTCTTTCGTTAGCCTTGTGTTGTACCTGTCTGTTTTTAATACTGCTAGCATTAAAAGTCTTTAAAAAAGTCCTTAAGAACAGAAAAAAAGTGTAGACTCAGGTAACGTTTCAGGATTTATAAAAGGAATAGTACTGATTAGCTCTCATTTCAACATTGTGCTCTGAACCCACCACTAACACAGCTTGTTAAAAGAATGATAAAGTCAGTGAAATGTGGTTGCCTAGCAAAGAAACACATTAAATCCAGGAGGTGCTTAACTCCAGTCATTAGGCTTCTAATTTGTACCCCTGTCAGTCATCAGCTCTGCATCCTGTTTACTTTGTTTTGCTTAACAAATATTGTAGCCACGGTTTCCACAGTGGGGTATTATGATCTTGTACAAACCTGTTACATTCTCAAATGGAAATACTGTACTTACGTACATACTGCAATTGTATTTTTAATCCATTGCCAAGGTATATTTGTGATAGTTACCATTGGTTTTGTTGATTATAAATTATGAAGTAATCAGATCAAACCATTCAAAAAAGAATGATTCCAACCACAATACAGACCTAACTGTATCCTATTGTATCAGACTCCCCAAAAGAGAGGGTTACATGGGTTATGAGGTACTTGTATATACACCTGTGAAAGATTTAATTACGAGAAAAAAGTACTGTAAATATGGTATGGATATAGAGTATGAAAAATTGATAATTTCATAGTACGTAAATTCAGGTGGTGAAGCATTTTCTCTCTCCTCCCCCTGATCTGCGGTACAGGGGGGCTGTAGGTGCAGAAAAGATGCTGTGTGTCACCCAGGTAGAGGATAAAGTAGTTCCCCTTATATACTGTATACTCAATTCGCGCTATAAGAATGTAACAGTTATTATTATCACAATTATTGCTAGTAGTAGTATGTGTAACTGTTAACCTGTTTTTCAAAAACATTAAATTCTGGAAGCAGGCATCAGTATAACAGCAGCCTGCGTGGTATACCCTTATAAAGGCATTTAATTTCAGATTTTAAGAGTATTACAACTCTTCACTCTGCCTAATATAAATCACGGAGTTAGTGCGCAGTAACGGATCTAAGCACATTTTAACGTATTTAATAGTATCATTGGCACGTGAATCAATTCTCTCAACCCAGTAACCTTTGAACGGAGTTTATGATCAACAGTATCCTCACCCCCTTTTTACATAATTCACATATTTACTGAAACACACAGACAACATCTCTCAGAAAAATGTTTAAAATAATATTTTTCGACTGTAGCTTACCTTACCCGCAGACAAAGGTGGAGAAGTCATGCAGATTATAATAAAATGAAAACCCAAGGAAAGACTCCAGGTGCCGTAGTGAGATACCCCACATTTACTGTTGCTTCAGCGTTGTTTGATTTACCGGTTAACTCGATTTGCATGGGACCGGTCACATTAAAATATTTGTCACGAGTAAATCCACTGGCTTCATATTGCAACGTTTATTAAAAAAAACAAGACTGTCAGTTTCAGGTGGGCAAATTTAACATTCACAGAATAAACACCTCATTCAGAAGGTATCCGAATCCTCTTGTCATTCAGTAAAACCTGGCGAAAACGCTTCTGATCTCGAGTTCGCAAAGTTAAACACCTCAAGCCTTTGCGTCTATGGAAACTCCTGCAACAAAGTACAATTAATTAACACTCCGGGTCTTAAAGCTCGACTGTTCAAACAGCTTGATTGGAGATTTCATAGACAGAAAGTTCCCCACTACAATACGGGTTCGTTTTCTGTACGTTCAAAACAACGCACACAGCGTGCCAGGAACCGTATCTGATTTATGTGGTTAAAAGATGTTTACCTTGATTCTGAATTCTTCATGTACTGTTGTGTCATTTATGTGACACGTTATAGCTGCCAATATTAAATGTAAAATTTAATTACCAATGCAAACTTTTTTTAAATTCATGAGTTCATTTTAAAATTACCCTTCTATTTAGTCTTTGGCAAAAATATTTTTGAATTTATTATTTTATTAGTACCTGGGTGGAGAACTGGAATATCCTACAGAAATTAACAGTCGAACCTGAAGTGAAATATGAACTCTTCATCGTACGTATTAGTTAAGAGAAAGGGAAGAGTCACTTCAGCAACACATCACCGAGCTCTTCGGGTGACTGTCGGTGCCTTAAAAAGAGCTGGAAAACGAACTGGTTTACAAACGTAGGCAGGTTTATAAAACAGTTGTTAGGACTCTGGAATTATATCTGGACAGTCATGTGGTGTGCACAAATCCTGATGTACCTTTATTCAGACTGTTCTAGTTACTAGTTTAGTAAAAAGCCCATCTGTGTAAAAGGGTACAAATAGATATTTCAATAAAAGCATTAGCCAAATGAATTGGTAACAGTTCATTGTGCCTTATAATTTTCATAGTTAAAGAGACAATTGTTATTGCTTTGGAGGTCAAAATGAGTACCGCTCTCTGTTTTCAAAATGGAAAAATATTTTCAATGTCCAAAATTCCTAATTTCTTCCTTAAAGATAAAACTTTTAAATGAACATGAGCTCCAGGCTAACAGACATGCTGACAATGTTAGTTAGCATTGTCTATGAATTCCCTGTTGCATATGTGTGAGTGACTAGAGATACCCTGTGCCTGTTTGGTTAAGCTTCAATTCACCGTCTACCTATTAGGATCAAGAAAAAGAAACTAGTCAGAATTATAGTTGTGAGCAGCACTGTTTGCTGTATCAGTAATGTATTCATTCAGCAATAAACATGTCAATAGCAAAAATAGTTTTGGGAACCATGTTGTTGTTGAAGCCTAAATGTTTATTCCTATTGTTCCCTAAATTTTCCCCCAACTTTAAAGCACTGAATAGCTGTGGACATCTATTATGTTTTACAGGTGCTTCAGGCATAGGGGAGGGTTTCTTAGGGAACTTGAATTGTTCTGTTTTTCAAGTGTACCAAAGTTTTAACTTTTTACACTTACAGTATTAGCAGGTAAAGGGGACATGGCTGTTCCTCATGATGATGAAATGTGACACTTTCCAAAGGGTCTGTACTTCCTCTGATCACTGAAACCAGATCTTCTAGGGTGCACTTTGGGCTGATTGCAGCAGGAAAGCTGTGATGGAGTTTAAGCACGCGAGTGGGGGAAATAGGTATCAATGCAAATCTCATCAAGTGTGGTTTCGGTCATTGTTTTTCAATATTGAGAAATCTCTGGAGTTTACACACAAGATGGTATTGGAAAACTAATAATAACTTTTATTTATAAAACACTTTTCCAAACCCAACAACACTGTACATCATGAATAAAGAAATGACAAGAAAAATACAATAAAAGTAAATAAAAAAAGAGCGTACAGGTTTTTACAAATTGGCTGTAGGTAATCAGATGTAGACCTTGGTAAAAAGGTAAGTTTTAAGTTTAGATTTGAAGAGAGTTAAAGAAGGTGTCACTTGTAAAGTCTGAGGAAGGTAATTCCACAACACTGGAGCAGCAACAGAGAAGGCACAGTCACCAAATATCCTGAGGACAGTGAGAAGTGGATCAGCCTTAGCTGAACAGAGCCTACAGGGAGGAGGGTAAACATGTAGGAGTTCAGAGATGTGCAATGGAGGAAGATTGTTTACAGCCTTGAAAGTCCGTAATAAGATCTTGTATGGTGAAGGGGAGGGGTGCTTGCTAATAGTGTGATGGAAATCAATGAACTAAGTGAATTATACTGTGAAGTTTGCACAGTGTGCTCAACACAGTTCTGGGATGAAAGAGAAGGGAATCAGACTGCCATTGCAAATAACCATTCATGTTATTTAATATCAAAAGTTTCTAACAGTTTCCTTCGCCATCTGTGGAGGAGAAAACAAAACTTAAGTAACATAATTGCCATTTCTACTTGTCAACAATATTTTGACTAACCCTGTATATTGGCTTCTCCAAATTACAAATTAAATTCATATTAACAAGCTCCTTAGAAACTTGGTTTTGTCTCAGACATCTGTGGAAGTTCAGAATATCGACAGCCCTGACAGGTTTACCAAGGCAGAACACAGAGAACTTAATAACTAGACATAAAATTGACTTGAACTGGCTTCAAAAATAAATTAGCTAGACATGTAATCTGAAACCAAGGCTAAATAAGTTTTGCAGAGGGAACTGTTCAATCACATTGCTCTGAGGTTCCCACGGAAAGTACATACACAGCACCTGTGCAATAAAGATGAAATAATTTAAGACTTACAGTGAATTTACATGATTAAGGCTATCATCTCTCAACTGCATAGATAGAATACAGTACACAAAACTAGGTATTCAATATCCAACCAATATCCAATTTCTGATGTCATTTAAAAACTAGTGGAGATACTAAAAAAAATGGAATGTAATGAGAAAAATAACACTTTTTACATGTAAGATGTACCATGATGATATTTGCTTGTAAAGGGGTAAAGGTGTAAATGAACTTTTTAAGCAAGAATATTTACAGACAAAATGCAGCAAAGAGACAATATACAGTATAAAAACCTTCGGTCAACATTTAATAATTGAAAGAGACACACGAATTTGTACAATCACAACCAATAGTTCAAACAAGCTGGTACACTACATGGGCTATTTTTTTGTTTCAACATAGTCAACATGTACAGAAGTATATACTACAAATCTACAGAATTTTAACATTTGAAATTCCCATTCATCCTTTTCCTTTCAGCTGTTGGCAGTGGACCCAGGCTCTGGAGACTGCAGGAATTCATAAGGATCATGGACCATTTCAGGCTGGTCTCCAACACCCAGATGAGTTGGGCTCCCTGGTTAAGAAGGAAACAATATTCAGACACTGTTAGCAGTCACCAATCCGCGACATAAGCTTATTCCTGGTTGTTGTGCAAATAATGTTACAAAAAACTAACAATATTATATTTTTCACAAAGAATATATGTCCTTCTGCAGCTCTGGCACCTTGTTTGCAAGCAAGTGAGAAATGTTGAGATTTACTTAAACCAGGAGCAAAGCTATTGAAACACACATTAAAGTATCCACATCTGGATTACATTATAAATGCAGTTCAATCATATTATGTAGGCGGTGGCTATTCAATTAACTAAAACACTGTAGGAAGGAAAAAAGAATAAAAGGTTAACACACATGTATTGTTTTCCTAATGCTTGGAAAAAACACCTTTTACACCAATTACCATCAAGTACTGTACTGCGTGTCTCGCCCACCTTCCGTGTCAATGACTGTAATCTGGGAGAACTATTTTCCCAATGTACTTTTCACATGAGGTAAAATTCCCTAGATAATACCAACCCTCAACATCACCTGTTGTACCTACAGCTGATCTACGATGGGAGGGCACTGGGTCCGAGGTCACAGCTGCGTGATTTTCGAAGGTACAAATTGCTTTCACCACAGCATCTAGTGAAACACCTCCTTTCCTGTTGCTTTAATAGTATGTGTATCCCTTACCTAGATGATGCTGCTCCCGCTCAGAGGTGTTGGACAGCGAGCTGAGATTGGAGGAGGGCCGAGAGCCCACCCTGTCGTTCTGTGCCTCGTGGAGGTCCTGCAGCAGCTTGGCTGTCTCATCGAAGTGCAGGTGCCCCTCATCGTGCTCTGGCTCCTTCTTCACTGCTTTGCCTGATGAACAGCAAACAGGAAGGAACAGTGTGTATCTCATCTCAGGATAGAGGAGCCTCCTGCTCTTATACATGAGCTGCCTCTTCCTTCAATTTCAAATCTCACACTGTCCAGAATCAAATATTTCAACAGAAAAACACTAAAGCAGCATGGCCCTAATTCACATAGCCATAGATGTACTAGTTTGTTTAATAGCGTTACTAAATCCATAAAATCAAATGTTCGGTACTAAATTATTTGTAAGTATAGGTTAGGGCAGAACAAAGTTCAAAGAACCCTATTTTGTTCCTGTGGTGCTATGTTGCTAAAATTCAAAACAAACCAAGGTTGATCCATGTCAACCCTCCGGCCTCGGTGGCGAGCCAGGCCAATCAGCCAATTGTGCGCTATCTCTTGGGGAGTCCCGGGCCTCGGTGGCGATACAGCTCGAACGTGCCTCGTCTGGGCAGCTGGGATCAACCCCCACTGGGAGTGATCACCTTCAATGGCCAAGCCACCGGAGGGCCTAACTGCAGCCTGTCACTGGATGTGGGTCCTATTCTGGGCAATCCAAGTCTCAAGACACTCCCTGCCTGGGTTTTGCTGAAGGACACAGGAGGTTTTTAAAAGTGACTCACCTATGTTGTTTAGCATCGACATATCCAGGGACATGTCAGAGTAGGACTTCATAAAATCCAGAACAGAGCTGTTTTCACCACCAGACAAGCTGCCTCCTTCTCCTAACTTGGAAAAAGTAATTACATTTAATTATTAAAGTTAGGCTGATGATGAAATTAGGCTGTACTGGCTACAAAAGAACCAAGTTCATATGCAATGTTTTTTTTCTATCTGCAATAGGTAATTTCTCATAAATTTTTTGGGAAAAATATCTGCAAACACTTATTATTGGAGAAACTCAGTCCAATCCTAAATGAGGTTACCTGAATATCACATAAACTAGTTTTGGTCTCATCCGGAGGTTTCATGGCAATGTTTCGTTTCTGTAAAATAAAATAAAAAATTGCATCTTAAAATTAGTAAAAGGCTAGTTACAGAAAGAGAAGGCACAGTTAACGGTGATATAAAGCAGGGGCTGTTGTTTCAGGGCAGTAGTTATGGACCTGGCTGACATTCCTTTACCTGTCGGATTTGATACATGGCTTTTGAATGGTCACCTCCAGTCATCTGATCCAGCAAGCCATCGACTATCTTCTTTGTAAAGCTGCCACAACCTTTTACAAACTCCTGAAGGCTAACAACAACAGAACCAAAAAAAACATGTTAATTCAAATCTTTCATTTTTGCTACAAGCACGTCCTGGGAACCAGAAAATGAGAGGGCTCAGTCTGACGCTGTACAAATATGTTTTAAAAAAACGTGATAATAACATTTGGGTGGACTGAAACTAAATGCATTTCAAACTGACAGGCAGCAAGTCAAAAACATTGATATCAGATTAAATAGTTTGTCTAAAATAGTTTGTTGGGCTTACTGTATTTTTTAAATATACCACACATAAATCATCTGACAACTATGCCTTTTAGTGGACTTGCAAAGAACTAAAAACTTCTGCCTTCCTTACTTCACAAGACTAGACAAAACCCTTACTGTTCAAAGTAAAATGCTGAATTTTGATATTCTTTTACTATACTTACAAAAATAACATTGATATTTTAGAATACTGACAAATTCTTAACTGCAGAGCTTAAACCTAAACAGTTGTACGTAAATAAGGATTCTAGCTCCCTTATCTGCTCACCTCAAGGCGCACTGTACACCAGTATCATCCCCATACACAGAATACAAAAGGTCCATTTCATCTGGTCTGAGGTCTGGGAAGACTGTGTTGTTTTGCAAAGATTGGGTGTTATAAGCACTGTTCAGGTATGTCACTAAAAAAAAAGAAAGGGATACAGAAATGAACTGAAAACCAGCTTAAGCTACAAAAAAGTTGTATTCTTAATATGTAAAGATAATCACAAATGTATCCAAAGTACACAAAGCATGACCTATATTTCATGCTGTCTGTTAGAATCATAAAAATGAAAGGCTGCCCAGGTAAATGTCCTTGTTTTTAGACTGTTTCTAGACTCCATTGCCATTCAGTAGTTTCTGAAGGGTGCTTGTGTGCTTCTCTGGGTTCACAGCAATTTATACATGATGAACAGGGTAACCTGAGGAAACTATTTAGTATTCATGTACATAATATTAATCTGTATGGAAACTGAATACATTTTTTCATAAAATGTGCAAATAAATAATTGGGGACCTACTGCATCACATTTTAAATGTGATCTGTGAAACTGTTAAACCAGGCTCTAAAAGTTCTCACCAAAATCATGACCTTTTAAATCTAAGAAGTATTGTCAGTATCATTACAATGTGTCTATACTGCAGATTCAAACAAAAGGGGGTATCTGCTTAGCATTTTCTTACACCTTCTTTTACTTTTGTTGTTTCTGTTACACAACTACTTTGATTACAAATCTATGAAATCTATACATCTACTTATACATTTCTGTGTGTGTGCAATTGCCACTCAAATGTAAGGCTAAAACAAAGCACTTTAACATGCCCTAATAGTACACAGGGTTTTGAAAATCTGACTCATTGGATATAGAACACGAGCGAAAACCAAGAACTTTTCTTCCTTTGTCAGCCTACCTTTGAGTCTTCTATCATCTTTGAAGCCCAAAGTAGTTAAACCAGGTAAGAGCTTGTTCGATAAGGAACTTAAATCCACAGGATGCGTTTCCTCCTCTACAAAATGTGAAGAAGTTTTAATTAAATACAAGGCTAATGGTTAACCATTTCAACATGGATAGAGGAAACAAAACCTGTGGTAACCGTGAGCAAACAACAAAGTTCTTTCATTGCACTACTACCTCTGCAAAGAAGGCAACAGACAACTGACACCATGGTCAGCTTCTTCGGGACAATAAATCCAACCACATTAGACGAGAGAAAAGCTCAAGTAAAAAGCATGGAGGTTAAATACAGTGCAAAGAGATTACAATATTTTCCACTGGTATATCTTGTCATATGAAGAAGTTCCTATTGAACCTTATAAAAAACAGGTTTATCGTGATGTTAAGCTTAAAAATCCTACCTTCTGCTTCTGTGTCTGAAGGGTTGACTACTGTGTACACAAGAGAGCCTTCAGCCTCCTTTCTCAGATACCCCATCTACAAAGACAAGTACAGGAAAGATCATGCCATCCACCGACACTAAAGGAAGAAGAAACCCAGTACCCCTCTCTCATGGAAACTTACTGCCAAGACCTTTTGGGCATTTTCTGCAACACCTCTGCTATAAAGGATAATTGTATGATTTTTCTTATATTTAGGCAAATAGTTCCAAATGCAAGCCAAGACTATTACATAAGTGTATGGAAAAAATGTTTTTGAAAACATTTAATTTTAAGAGGACTGGGTATGTAACTCATGCTTACTTGAAAATTAAAAGAAGGGCAGACATTTCAGTGGTATCAGATGTTTTAAGAGAAAAAAACAATGTATGTATGCATGCATAGGTGTTCTGGCTGTGATCAAACACTTTCAGACAGTTCTAATAGATCTACAAAAAAGTTTTACAAAAAAATTGAAAAAATGAATTTTAACACACTGTATCTAAAAGCTTTGAAAATTGTTGCATTGTTCTTTACTTCCTCTTAAATCATACTAAATGTCACCAGTGACAGGTTCCCAGGCTAGGATATCAAACTTGCTTTTCAAAAATCAATTACACTTTTTTTATATATATAGGTAACAAAAACATCCCACTTTTACAGTCATTTGCCAAACTGCTGTGAAATCCAGCTCTACTGCAGGAGAGGCTAATTTCTTCTGAAATCCAAACCCCACCCTGCCCATGTCTGACAGACAGGGGCCTGACAGCTCTCCCTTATTAAACAAGAAACTGCAAGTGAAAGTGCTAAACCTCTTCTAATTCTTAGCAAATTACCTTTACAAACAAAAACTCAATAAATAGAACAGTTTCCACAGTGCACGGCAACACAGACATTGCAACACTGGCAGCCCCAAGAACTCCCAAGAGAGAAATCTTTATGTTTTTAGAACAGTAAACATTTAATTGTTTAAATAACAAATCTTATGGAATTAACAAAACATTACAGCAATTCACCAGATGTCTAATCCACTGTAAATATAGGAATAGCAGGCTCCTCCTGCCCTGTGTGGGTGTGGACTGTACCTTGGAATGAGGCATGTATCTGCTGATTCGGTCTCGGGCTTCGTCAGCTGCATGTTCCACTAAGGCCAGGACGTGCTCTTCAGCTGTGCTGTCTGTCAAACTGCACGCATTGCCTTCAGGTTCATAGAAATAACTAGGAACCAACAACAGTCATGGCCTGTTAACATCTGGCTGCTCGCGAATTGGCCTGACTTTTGAAATCCTGATCCTTGAAAGTCAAGTCATTATTTTGAGGCAAAAGAAAACTTATGCTTAGCTGACAGCGAAAGCGCACTAGTGACACCAGTAACGGAGAAAATAAAACAGTAAGGACCTGAAAGGTTACACAGATGCTCCCATCTCAAATGTGAAAAAGGCTTTTTCAGCACTATTATTAAATTACTGTTCTAACACCAAAATTTAAAAAGCATCAAATGAACATAACATTGTAGCTGTTATAAGAGAAAAAATTCAACAATGAAAAAATCTACAAGGATTGGTCCAAATAACTTTTCTTGACTGGGATCCTCTAGGTAGTGTAAAACACTACCATCTACTGGCAGATGAATGCAAGTACCTGCAAAACCTAAGATTACATTAAAATGTCCTTTTAAAAATCTCACCAGGGTTTGCTAGGGTATAAGATCCGATGCTGTAGAACGGCAATTTAGTGTGATTTCTTTAGGAGATTTTACAGTTAGAAAACTGTGGGGAGGGAAACATGATAACAAGGAGGATTCCAATGTGCAGGGAATTTAAGGGTGCACACTTCTGAACTGTATTTCAAAAGTGAAACATCTGCGCTTCACCAACAGGATTACGGTTCATATACCTTATGCCATCTTTCATGTCTTTCACAGGTTTCTTTGATTTCTTTGTCGATTCAACAACAACAGGGATGACCTCAAGCACGGGCTCTTCTGTCGCTATGTCTTCATCTCCTAAAATCGCAGCCTGCTGAGAAAAATCCATGTCCTGCATGAACGACATGCTGCGCTTCAAAGCTAAAAGCCGCTCCTAGAAGCAGAAATAACAAAACCGAAGGGGCTTTACTTCTCCCAGTAGCTGGATGCTGTGACCATGGAATGAAATGGATATGGTGCCACACTGAACTGGAGATCCCAGCGTCACAAATGACAAAATGCCATGCAAAATTAAAACATGCTCAACTTGTTGAAAGGCCAGGAATCAACTGCCTTGAAAAGGGTTGTTCCTCAGATGGAAAGACGAGAGTGTTGGCAACATCTAAAAGACTACAAGAAGCTGAAGACCGTCACAGAAAGTAAGTGACAAGCAAAGAGAGTGAGGTAGGTGCTCAATAGCTAATCTGTGCAAAGATGGAAACATGAAGAAATGATGGAGAATGCGGTGCAGGAGGCTTTTTTCACTTTCACACAGGAGATCCCTTACTTTGCTCATCATCTTAAATCCCGTATGAAGCAACTTCTTTGCTGCTTTGTAATACACCGTTTCTGGTCGGTTGTACACCATTGCATTTTCGCACATCAGTTTGAAATCAGCCTGGAAACAGAAAAGGAAGGATGGGGAAAAAATGTGAAAGGGCAATACAAACATCATGACAGCAGAAACAGAAAGCTTTGACACCAGGATTGAATTACATAACACTAGAAGCAACAATCAATCATGATGATTTTTGGAAAAAAAACATTTTACTGAACAGCAGTCTTAGTCTAAACAACATCCTTAATGTTGCTGAAAACACCCAAGCCCCTACACTCATTGCAGATCTCACCTGCAAAGACTTCATTCTCGTAGTGCAGTGTTTCCCAGTCTTGATCCTGGTGTACCACTGTCTCATCTAGTTTCGTTTCCAGCACATTTTTTTTAATCAGCTGCTTCAGTTTCAGGTTTTTCTGCACTTAGGTCTTATGTATACATCTATCCTCGGTGCATTATTTCCAAGAAATGTTTGAGTTGAAAGTTGTTTTCCAATTCTTCTAAACTCCTCAAACAGCTTACTGAATAATGATGTACAAAAAGAGGTGAGAATGACAATATCAAACACCTCCAAAATAAACTTTATATATAGGCTGCATTAAAGTCTCCCTACTCATTTAAACAGTGGTTCTACTAATAGGAGTTCTGAAACTCAGCGTCTTGAACAGGATGCGTACTTTAACCCATCCTGCTATTTAAAAGCTGAAACTATTAACAGTTCAATAAGATTAATTAAGAATGAGAACAGAAGGCAGGTGAAAAGACTGGGAAAAACGTTGTAATATCCAAACTTAAAACAGGTGATGACACAAAGCTCAGAATAAACAACTTTCTCGCTTTCTAAATGTGAAACCCAATATTTCACCCAGGCTTTTTACTTGAAATGTGAGGTGAATACAAAGCCGGAGGTGTCAATATTCTTTCATTTCAGCTGCAGAGTTCCTACTACTGCAGAAGTATATTACAGAAATCCATCAACCCTGCTTCACAGTCAAGTTTAGACAGCCAGATTTCCCTTTGACATTATTCCTGTGCAGCTCCCTGAGATTTTATTTACCTTAAATTCTGTAACTGTTTTATACTCATTGGTTGTGATCTTGTACTTCATTGTGCTGAAATCCATGGGATGCTTAATGATCATTGAATAGCCAGGGGCAATAGCGTCTGTGACCGGGAAGGCAAAGAACCCATGAGGATCTTTCCTAAAGAATGGCAAACAAAAAACTAAGTATACGTCAAAGCACACAGCAAATAAAATGAACTACAAACACTGAGCCCATTTCCCATTGTTCCAGTTTGAATCAAAGTGCTTGGGTTGGAATATTCATTCCATTTCTGTTGTTGCTGTTCCCTGTGTTGGCTCTTGCCAAATGTTTTGCAACATTAAAACCTGAAACATTTTTACATGAATGGAATAAATACTGTTCCCATGTTTTTAAAAACAATTAGCGTATTTACCAGAACATTTATGCATAATGCAACACAAAAGGCACCTGGTAAACATAAATGCTCCAACCGTGTAGCAAAGCACAGTGAAGGGGTGTTGAAACCACAGTAAAACCATCACAGTACTACAGTATAAATGTAAAACCTCTCTGGCAACCTGACGAAGGAAAATGTTCAGTAGTTTACCTCTGGAGCTGACGCAGGAAGTGCTCCAGCAGCTGCTGTCGAGGCGTGCACTCGTTTTCTACAGAAACACACAACAAGCAGAACGGAAGTAGAAATGCTAATTTAAAACACGCAGTTAATTATAATTTGAGCAAGTGCTGGCTGTATAATTGAATATATAACCACTGTTTTCTTATTTTTATATACATTCTCTCTGTCACGGTGCTGCAGAGAGTCCTCACCACAGCACACTATCCTAACAGCATAACATAAGGAGCTCTTCCGTTGATTAATGGACCTCATTATTAACAGACAGAGCTGCTGGACAATGTAACAGGCTGGGTGAGTCCAAAAATCCCAAACATGCCCTGGAAAGCATCACTTATGTGCTGCAGTGGCTTTTGTTTCAGTAAAAAAAAAATATTGTTTTGAAAACACTCTCAAATTAGAAGAAAAACTGTTTTGCAACTTAAAATTAGTTCATGTCACTCACCTCACCTGTGGAAGGAGGCATATGAATAGGCAGGGTTGGGCTCAATGTTATCCTATCAGAATGTAGCCCATTCCCTCTCACCACTGTTCAATACGTTATTCAGAAGGCACTTTATTTATAGAGGCTAAAAGTGAACTACAGTATGCACCCATCACAGCTGTAGCTAAGTTGATTCATAATAAGCAATTAATAATAAAAGATAACATGAAGACTCTTGAGCTAATAACCTATTGACCTGTAGCACTGAGCCACTGTTCATCCTGCCTACCCTGCTGAGTCCTGCATGCTCGGACAGGCCTGTCTGCCTGGTGCTCCACCTCCACCTTAACCCCAGGATCAAAGTCGTCCACCTCTCCCTCCGTGTCGCAGACCTCCTTCTCTCGTTTGCGCTTTTTTTCTTCCTGAAAACAAGCACCTCAATGGTGAAACAAAGCAGACGTCCCTCTCTGGAAGACCACAGAAACCAAAGGAAGCAAGTGGTCAACGCTATCTACGCCTAATGGCAAATGGTTAAACACTTCAAAGGTCTTCAAAGGGTTACAGTTCCAGAGCTCCCTGTGGCATTAATAACAAAACACTCTTTTAATCCCTGAAATGTTGTCCCTTTTCATTTCTGGATTAACTTCAGTATAATCAATATTTGTGCACCCTGTAAATCTCGACTAGCTAACCTAATTTTAGGCCATTTCACTCAGCCACATTCACTGAAACTAACAAAGCATGTTTTGCATGAACAGATGAATGAATAACTGGGAGAGTGATTATGAAACCCTTCCTTCAGATGTAGCTGCTTAGTCATAAAATAACAGCTGTTTGCTTATTTATCAACTCTGTTGACTCTGAGTGATCATCAAGTTCAGGGAAAATACACCCTATATAGACTTGACATCCCTTCTCACTGTAAGCAACTGCATGAGGCAGAAACTCAACGTCATTTTTCAGCACACTGATGTAATCTACTGTACCTCTCCCTCTGTATCGCATTGCTCCCTCTCTCGTTTCTTCTTCTTTTCCTCCTGAAAAAAAAACCCCACAAGATACAGCTGGTCAGGCTGTGTTTCTTCCTTAAAACACAATTTCACAAATTCCATAATTTAAAGGCTAAATGGCCATCTAAACAATGTCTCTATCACCAATTTTCTTCTTTAAGTCTGTAGTTCCATTGGTGTACCAACTTATCTTCTTGAAAGATGATCAGAAATTTTTGCATTCCTTCCCAGTTTTGAATTGATATTTGTTAATTGAGTTGGCTTCAGTGCCAAATCCTTCTTACAGTACAAGATGTACATCTGCCCACGACTGGAGCAGGCATGGACTGGAAGACTGGTTTGTGATCTTACAAGTTAAAGAATCAAGCTCACATGTGCTCAGCAAGTCATTACTTCAGAATGGCAGCATGTGGATACCTGGACAAATTTAAAGGCACTTTAATGCCATCACGTAGAGATTTTGGCTGTAGAGGACTACAGAAACAGCCCAAGGGAAAGGTCTAGGCTCGGTGGCTCAAACTACACTCCAAACATGTTCCTTTTCTGGTTGAGCCTCTAGTGAGGCGCACACACTGGGTTGTCAGTAAGTCAGTAAGTCAGTAAGTCAGTAAGTCAGGGGAAGCTAAACTGATGTGTGGGAGCCAAGCTGCAAAGATTTTGTGATGTTAGACGTGCCTATCTAGCATCTCATCTGCATGTTATTTAAAAACGTCAGAACTTCAAAAATCTCTATACAGACATGTAAACAAACAAGGAAACAGAGATGTGTAATCTTAGAAGATTACGTCTTCTTAACACAATCCATTGTCACTAAATTATCTGAGCACATACAAATCAAACATGATAAAAGCTGATATAATACCCACAGCCCTACACAGGTGCTTGATGCAACTGACCTTTTGTGTCAGCTTATTACTCTCTCACTACTACTTTGCAATTGTCATATCTGCATAACCTAAGACTTCAATTTAGAATTGAACACATGGAAGTATGACTATGTATCTACGTCAATTAGAAACCTTTAAATCCCCACTCAGCAAAGCGAGCACAAAGAGTCAATTACAAAACACCTCTTGTTTCATAATCGGCACTCTTTCCATGAGAGAGAGGACAACGATGTATCCAGACGCTCCCAAACTGCCCCTCATCCTTCACCTTTCTTCTCCGCCTCTCCTCATCGTCTGCGTGTTTGTCTTTCTCCTTTTCAGACTTTTTCTTCTTCTTTTTCTTCTTGTCTTTGTGCCGTTCCCGCTCGTGGTCAGATCTGTCGTCGTAGTAGCTGGAGTCGTGTCCCGAGCCTGACAGCTCCGTCACCTCGCTCCCGCCCACTTTCAGAACAAGCTTCAGGGGCTTGTCCAGAGGTTTGTCCTCATAGCCTGAAAGAGCCGCGTGATTGACATGTTAATTTTACTGGTGTGGATCAACAGCTGTGAACGAACAGCACCTATAGTAAGAGCAAGGGTTCCAGTTCAGGGAAGCCAAAAGGAACTGGAGGTCTAAATCACACTATCATAGAAGAGGAGCCCCAGAATACCCTGACAGCCATGGAGAACTCCATAGAGTGGATGACTCACACAATGTAAGCAATATCTTTTAAGAACATAATTCACAAGCGAGGGAAGGACATTTGACCCATCTAGACCCTTTGGTAGCTAGGAGCTAACCCACCAAAGATCTCATCCAATCATTTCTCTAAGAAAAACAGGATTTGGGCTCCAACAACATGGCAAAGTAGCATATTCCACACACTCACAATCCTTTGTGTAAAGAATGCTCTCCAGCACTCAGTTTTAAATGCACAATTAAATATGCCTATCCAGAAAAGGGTCTTTCTTTCCTACCTATATCCCTTTGGAGTAAGATACCCCTGATCAAAAGACAGGCAACAAATATAGAGACTACACTCACTTGACATGTCCGATTTTCATATAAAACTATCTGATACAAAGGATGATTTTCACTTATCACGCAGTGATGTCTTGACAACATTTCTGACCTGTGACCACAGCGTGCTAATAGTTCTTTACTGTAACTTAGTCTTGCACACATAACCTCTTCTGCTTGTGCCACAGTGGTGCTGATTTGTAAAATAGCAGACCGATGCTACCATTATTCTGATTAAAAGTACCCTTGACAAATACAGAAAATATTTCATTACGATCTCTTACAGTCGTCTGTTTTTTGCATTTGTTCTCGGAGAGCTCCTTGAGATGCAAGACACGAAATGGTGTTTTATGAATAAAATGTGCATGACTGGGCGGTAATAGGTCTAAACACAGAAACCAAAAAAGCGGTCTAAGCAATACATTGACAGGTTAGAAAATTATGTAATAAAAATCTCCTTAAATATATTTGTAAATATTACCAGATTACATTATTTCGCAATACATGTTTAGAATTAGACAGGTTCATTTATTTATTAAAATCTAAATATTTTCAACTTTCAAAAGGGCTTAAAGGCTTGCAATACTAGTGGATAGGTGGAGTAAGAAAGGTTTTCGACCAATTAAAAGTCAAGTAATATGATTTTATCTGCATTGCAGAGCGGTTGTATCAGTCATCCCGTAGTTACTAAAGCAAACTACCAATCACATGATGAGCATTCTGTGTACGTCAGTTATTTACTGTGAACATGCACACGACAAGATAAAAATCTAAACAAAATAGATTAAAGGCGCAAACAGACTCAGACACCACCTGTTCCTTCTCCGATCGAGACCACAACAACACAGGTAAAAACACAGCCCGGACCCCGTGAAACGTAAGCAGAGAAATCTCGAAATGCAACCTGCCCACAGTTCGTTTATTCTACTCACCATCAACCGTTCTCCACTCCGACTTGTGCTTTTTATGCTTCTTTCCCATTTTCAACAATCTACAAAGCCATATTACTTGTGTAATTCGCTGCTTTGTTTAGCAAGACAGCCTGCCTGCAAGCGATCAAACACCGGAAATGCGCTCTCCGTCACCTCGGGTCAACATCGCAATCGTTGACGTTTTACTCAGGTTCTCCGGTCTTTAGGTATTAATACGCGGAACGCGTTAAGACAAAACTCACAAGAGAGGACAAAAACGTGGTAGATAATATCTATTGAAAATAATTGTTTTAAAAATGTAAAAATATTTAGGAGAGCTTGAAAACCTGATTTTAAAAATAAGTTTAAAGGGGAATTACTTTGTCGTGGGCCGTAACCTGATGGGGCATGACGTCAGCAGGGCGCCGCGTCTGTGCTCTGTTGTAGAAGAAAGCTGCGCGCGCGCCGAGTTTAAACCAGTTGCGACCCAGTGGTGTGGATGTGACTTTGGTACTTTTATATCGAACAACCAAATAAAGGTATAAATATTCATTTTTTGTTTTGTTAAACGTCATGTTGGTGTTATAAAGCGTATTATGACATAAGCTCTAGAATGAAATCAAAGTGACATGATACCGGTATTTCGATTAGTATGTAATTTTAGGATTTTTAATTTGAGTTTCTTGTTTTGGTAAATTATCTTGAATAGGCCCCTGTCTCACTTAACAGACGAGATTCTTTTCGATATTCAGTTGTCACTATTGAAAATGCATCAGTGGCGTATAAAGTGGCTAGTGATATTAGTTTCAAGGTTGTTGTTTTTTTTGCAACAGTACAACGGGAAATTTGAAGCCGGTGGTATCACATGGAAGAATTCAAAATATTGAATTTCGCGTGTTGTTAAGGGTGTCAGAATCAGAGCTTAGCAGCAGAGTAGTGCTGGGATTCATTGGGCCAGACACCACTGGATTCCCACCACAGGGGTGAGTGGGTGCCAACAGGGATTCCAGGTTGGCGTGAAACAAGACGCAGCTGGTGCCAGGGTTGTGTGAGATGAGCTCCACACTGCCTGGGCACGATGTCGAGGCTGAGACAGGCGCTGAGTGAGCATTACACCGGACAAACAGCAGTTTACACATAGGGTTGTGGGAGTATGGAGCAATGTACCCAGCCATGCTGTTGGGGTTGAAACACTGGCTTCTTCCAAGAAACAGCTGGATGGGATCCTCTGATCCTTTTGCTAATAACTACAAAACGGCTGGATTGGGCTCCTCTGAACGGTATCCTTTCTTATGATCTTGCAAATTGGGTGACTGCAGAATGCTCTTGACTGGGAGGTGATACAGAGGCAGTAGCTGGTATGGGACTTGGAGCAATAGGCCCACAGTGCAGTGAGCAGCTGGTCTCTTTCTTTTCATTTGAATTTGTCAAAGAAAGTAGTGGAATATGTTCTTTTTGTGCACTTTTGGCTGTTTTTATCATAGAATGTAGTGTGTCACTTTATATTTTATAGGTGGGAAGATGGATTCAGCTGGAGATCTTCATCAGGGTGTATCCAATGGCACTAATACATTAAACATACATGTTGAGGTTCATATGAAATCTTCCAGGTAAGAAAGTAGGAAGGAACCAAAAAGAACATTAGGAGAAATACTGAGGCTACTGATTCTTTTGTATCCATTTAATTTTACGTATAAAAAACATTTCAAAGTATAGTGCTTCTGAAAATGTGGGCCATTTTGGTGGGTACATTTTATATTGATTTCCCAGTAGTTCTTGCTTGAGTTATGTCATTGAATGCTCTGAGTTTGGCACAAAATGAATTTGAGTTTTTATTTAAAAAATGTTATCCGGTTCCCTTTCAATGAAGTATCAGGACAGCTTTTTTTGTTAATTCCTACACGTTAAAGGTGAAAAAGACCCTTAAACAGTAAATTATACATAGTAAGGGGAAGAGCTGGGCAATTTCAATTGAGTCAAATTAAATCTCTTGATGTTTTTTTTTATTTTACTGTTAATCTTCTTCTTCTTCTTCTTTTTCACAGCCTTAGTCCCAGACTGTCCTGGGGTCAGCTGCTTTGGTTGCTCTTCTCCACTTGTCTCTGTCGAGCACATCTTCCTCACTCACTTCACATACCTCCATATCTTTTCTCACACAATCTATCCATCTCTTTCTAGGCCTGCCTCTTCTTCTGTTACCTTCCACCTCAAATTCCATTACCCTCTTTGTTGCTTCCTCAACGTCCCTCCTCATGATATGTCCATACCACCGTAACCTCGCCTCTCGCATCTTCTCAACCACATCCACCACCCTACATCGTCTACGGATTTCTTCATTTCTGATCTTATCCTTCATTGAAATCTGCAGAATCCATCTCAACATCCTCATTTCAGTTCTTCTCATCAAGTTCTCTTCCCTCTTTCCAACTGCCAAGCATTCAGCTCCATATAGTAGTACAGGTCTAATCACAGTCTTGTACATTTTGCACTTTAACTCTAGGAATTTTCCTGTCACAGATTATTCCAGTTATTTCTCTCCACTTGTTCCATCCAGCTTTCACTCTTTGTTTTACTGCCTCCAGTGTTTCTCCTCCCTTTACCAGTTTTGATCCAAGGTATTTAAAGCCATCAACTTGTTTCAGTTTTCCTCCATTTGTCTCCTCAACATTGGTCATAGTATCTTCTCTTCTCTCCATTACCATTATTTCAGATTTTTCTGCATTCATTTTCAGTCCACCTTTTTCCAGACTCCTCTGCTATTTGAACACTTTCTTTTTTTTATTTTACTGTAAATACAGTACAGTATTAACACAAAAGCTTTTTCCTTGGTGAGGAAATCAAAATCGAAATTTCACTTAACAATCATTATGGCTTCATGGGGGCAACACACTTGTAGGAGAAAGGCATTTAAATGAATCTTAGCAGTATGCCTGGTGATTTATAAAAAGTTGTTCTTTTAGATATCTGGATTGATTTTTAAAAGCTTATCCCTCCATCCCAGCTGAGCTTTTCCTCTTTTATCTTACATTTGTTTTTGCATTCTCTACTGGTCCACTGAAAACTGGTCCACCTGTTTTTTTCCAGGTCTTGATTTTTTTTTCCCAGTCTTGAATTTTGGCTTTATCTTTTGACATGTCCTTTGCCACTTTTATTTGATTACTACTGTTCCATACAAATTGCTCAAATGTTTACCAACATACCAATATGTCACACATGTACAATATCTCTAATTTAATATTTCAGAAGACCTACGTTATGAAAGTTTAGGAGTACCAATCAATTTTCTATCCTATTCTAGCAATAATAATGGTATGGAGGTATTTAATTTCTGGTATGTAGATACAAATTTATTAGTTAAGAACTAACTAATGTGAGCAGAGTACTTTACCTACACACTAATTATATGAAGGTGTTGTGGAAAGATTTTTCCAGAAATTATATGATGTAAGAGTATCATGGCCTTAAAGGTCATTTTAAAAAATTACCAAACCTGGAAATGAAAAGTAATGTATTACTGTTAAAAGTCTGTAGTTGTGAGAAGTACAATGTGATTATATATAGCACAACTATATCAAAAATATCTCTTTATATTTGTATAGATATACCGTAGATATTCTAATAGTTTATTTCAAGCACAATTATTTTGAAAGTTTGAATATATTGAACGGTGCTAACAGAAATGAAATGAATGTTGTGTGTCTTGTGTTTCTTCAGTACAGCAAAGAAGGAGACAGTGAAGCTGCACGTCTTAGACTTGCTGAAGAGACACCGGATGGTGTTTGGAGATTTTAAATGGACCGAATTTGATGACGAGTTTCTGGTCAACAACGTTGAATCAGTCGCCATTGTTGATGCTGACTTTATACAAGTAAATAAGCTAATTTTCTTATCAAAATGTGTTTCAGGTATTTCTTCAATGTGTTGTATTTAATTTAAATCCACCCTAATGTACATGGTTGCTTTAGTGATGCTTTCACACCAGTGTTGCAAACGGTGAATGTTCAAAGAGGATTAATGCGTGTCTTCTCTTATGTTTGGGGGAAGATTCTTTCTTAGACTTGTTTAGTCACAATCCCACTGATTGTAGCTTCGCACCCTTGACTCACCCAAGTGTCTGTACCTGTGGCTCTTCTCACACTGAGCATGATTACTGTACGCATCATCAGTGGGGTAAAACTAACCACACCCACTAACCCAGCTTACATTCCCTATTAGTGGGTAAACAGTCTTGATGAATCCTGCTTCACGATGAAAAGGAAGAGTCATCTGGATCAAAACGCAAGAAAACACGAAAAGCAGGGGGGAAAAAACACAAACTTCAAAATTTCAACAAGAGAACTGGGCCTCTTTAAAACCTTACACAATTTACTTTAAGGAAAACGCATATAATCAGTACCTATTTATAATAACGATAGATTATTAAACACAAGATAACTGAATTAATATATGCATTTCCTTTTGTGAGTGTTTCAGTCTCAGACACCACAGTTATAATAACAATGTTATAATATTGTCTTTATATGGAAATGTTATATGATGTAGTTTTCTAGGTATACTGTGTGGCATTTAAAATGCAGCAAATACAATAATTTGTTTCAAATACTGCATGGTCACAAGGTGGCAGTATAGAGCTAATCTAATGTCCTGGTTCAGCAAGTGTTTTAACATTGAGGAACCTGCATGTTTTTTTTATATTTTCTGTAATTTCATCAAGAATGTATAAGTATAAAGCACTTATTTATATGCAGGCATTTGTTTACTTTGTCTTATAAGGGAACTGATATATGAACCCTAGAGACCTCATGGATTTTTTTAAAATGAAAACATGCTCTTTCCAAAAATGTGAAAATGTTTTCTTTCCATTCCCTTCCAGCCCGTTGACCTCAGCAACAGCTGTCTTTCCATCCATGTTTTCACGCTGAATTATGAGGGACCCATGACGGAGAACCTTGACGAAGAAGACAACCTCGTCGCAGCCAATCAGTGGCTTTTGCCTGCTGGTAGATTGAATTCATCTAATACGTGTTTGAGAAGTACTTTTAATGCTACATGGTGTAGGAGTAATGTTTTTAAATCTGCAGATGTTTAGAATGTACTTTTCAAAGGGAGGGAAGATACAGCAGCTTATGTGTTAATGTATCCCTATAGCCGTTTGTTGTACATTTGTATCTTTCCACTAACTGTTCTATTGAGTCCATCCCTGAAGACCTAAGTGGGTGTGAGATCTGTAGCCTGGTGCTGCTAGATGATATTTTGCAGAGCTGCTTCTTTCTCCTTTTTCTCTGTGTAGGTCTTGTGTGCAAGTTTGAAGTAGCTGTGGGGCATAGTGTTTTTGTAGTGTTTTTTTCTTACTCACAACTTTGTTTTTAGTGTTTATTTCAGTGTAAATATATTGAATCAAACTGATTTGTAAAGGTAAAGGCCATGATAATACAAATACCATGTGATAAGATCAACAAATTTACTTTGGGTGTAGTACTTGAGCACAGCTTAAAATCAACAATTGTTCGTTAGTCCGTTGTGTGCGATATCGGTTGCATTGCTTTCTCTGAAAAGCACTGGGCTGCCCTTACAATGTGTGGGAAGGGTCTGAATAGTAAATTGTGTAGCAATGTGTGATGTCCATTTGGAATATTATATAATATGGGTGTATCACAGAAAGAACAGGAAAGAGTTCGGGGGGAAAGGGTATAGAGAAGGACCTGTATTTTGTAAATGAAATTATGGAAATGAAATTGAAGAAGAGACACCATGGACACCGGCCCTTTCATCTGTCAGAGTACCAGTAGCCCACTGTGAGTGCGCGTCAGCGAGACTATGCGCTGAAGCAGAGGTGCAGGGGGGCGAGTCCCATAAGCGTATGCAACAGTTCACTTCTGAACACCACTTTCCACTGACCCCGGTGTCCTAGCACTGAGCCAAGGCACAGCTGCTCAGTCTTTTGGATTGCATCTGTAGCAATGGCAGTGTAGGTGAAGGGAGAAGAGAAGGATATTCCTTGACATAGTAAGGAAGTGTACTGCCTGATGTCTGGGAAGAAAGTGTCGTACAGGGATTGGATGCATAAAATAGCTTTTCCATTCATACAGATTGAGCTGAGAACAATATTAAGGGTGAGTCAAGTATAATTTTGGGGATGTTTGAAATGTGAGAAGAGGCAATACCTTCTAAAAGTAACCTAGCATTACATTTTTTACAAACATAAATTAGTAATGGCATATAAGCATTTCAATAAATAGCTAACGCATGGAAAAATAAATCCTGAAGTCACTTGATTATAGTTGTGATACGTAATGTTTTAGTGGGGAAGACACAGTCAGTAATGCAGTATTTGGTGTTCCTTAATGGATGGGTCATCCCAAGAACATAAGGGCGTGCCTGCCAGAAGCCTAGTCTAATTCTGAGTCAGTCTTTGGTTTGAGTTGTATCTTTAATTTTCACTTATATATAGACGCATCTATATTCCATTTTTGTTTTGCACCACCAGTACATATTTTAAGGTAATATACAATTTACATTTTTGTTTATAAATTAAAACATTGTATTTATAAATACATGTGTGTAAAGAGAAATACCCTAAAGTCTCTAATACTTTTTTTTAATGCCTATGTCATTGAGGTCTGAAATAATTTAGCGCATGGAGTTCTAAATGGTAAGAAAACATAAATAAGTTTCTGTGTTTTCTGTGTTTTCAGAGGAATTTCATGGAATCTGGGAAAGTCTGATCTATGAGAATGGAATTAAATCACAAGTAAGGAAATCCATTGGCTTCTCATGACTTTTAAATATTAATACAGCTTTGAAGTGCAAAATAAAGAGGCTACTAAAAACTGCAATAGTTATTACTGTGGTATATGAGTGCAACCTATAATGAATTGCTTCTACAAAAAGAAATGTGGCCTTAAGGCCTGATTTTCGTAACAGTGGAAAAAAAAAGCACAAAGATTTAAGTCATTGCGCCCATTACTGCTCAAGACCAAGCACAGATGCTATGTGCAATGTGGGTGGTACTTGATTGACTTGTGAAATATGAATAATGTCAGGTTTAGGACATCAAAACCGGTGTCAGAGATTTTGGTGAACACTGTTAGCATTTGTAGAAAGTTTTGGTCTGGACTTGCTGGAAAGATGTAAACTATTTGAAAAATAAAGCTAAGCAGAATGAAGCTTTGGGGGTGAAACAGCCCGCTTACTTACTGCTTATGCCACGTTGTTTTTTAGCTCCTTGACTATGTTTCGACCACCATCTTTTTCTCGGACAAAAATGTGGACAGCAACCTGATAGCCTGGAACAGGGTTGTGTTGCTTCATGGTGAGGCCTGTGGCATTTCTTTCCTAATATTCAGAAGGGTTTGTGATCTGAAAAGCTATCAATTTTACCATGCAAATTATTGAACTGGATTGAGTTGAGAAAGAATTTAATTTTAAAAATCACCTTGAGTTCTTTTTATTTCCCTTAGGTCCCCCAGGAACCGGGAAGACCTCTTTGTGTAAGGCTTTGGCTCAAAAGCTTTCAATCAGACTCTCGAACAGGTGAGTCAACTGTGAGTATGAGGAGAAATGTGAATATGTTTATTGTACATATGAAATCAAATTAGAGTAACCCCAGGATATTGAAACATTAATTTGACATGCAGGCAGTTAATGCAGTTATATTAAAGTAACAACCCAAATGCACATCATTGAAACACCAATCTGTTTTTAGTGTTGGATTGATCTCATTTCAGAACAGTTTGCAATGTTATGGTTATTTAGTTTTTACAAGTACATTTAATTAAATTCTGGTCATTTTGTAGGCAAAACACCTCCTGAAGAGGACCAAATGTATCGTAGGACATGATGTTATGACCTTTAACTCCGATAAATACAGTATACAGTGTACACATCTTGAGTAAAGGAAATTAGTGACAAGAAAATGAATAATGGATAACTTAACTGTGTACTGTACATAACTAGAAGGACTGGAATAAGAGTTTTTTTTCCTCAGATGTTTACCTGACCACCAGTCACGTTGAATGATGCATTTTGTCCTTTCAGAACAAGCAAGTGTGTGTCCCCTCTGCAAAGAGAGGCACATGTTTGCACTGTTTGAAACATTTCAAAATGCCCACCAGAATGCAGTTAAATGACACGTTGAATCAGTTAGCAATTGTGTTCAGAACCAAAGTAAGGTACTGTTGCGAAGTGCGTGTGAGAGTGGAAAATTGCATTAGCATGCAAACTGCAAAGGAGCAAGAAGGAAGAAGAAAATAATTGGCTGTGGGGCCATCGTACATTGTGTGGAGGAAGGCAAGCGAGCAGGAATGTGAGGATAATAAGAGAAAAAAGAAAGGCTTCAAAGCAATGCTACACTTTCTGTCTCAAGTGTTCAGAAACCTAAGATTTCTGAAGCCCTAATTATCCTTAAACTAGTTTCACGTCCTCTCCCATAACAGATTATCTCTCAGTGATCAGCTGATTTCTTTCTAAATCTCTCCATTTACAGATTGTTGCTCTCCACCATTACCATTGAATTATCATAGAATTAGTCTCCAAGATTTCCATCTCTTTTGGATCCCCATTCTCACCTCCTCTACCTCTTTCCTTTGTTCCCCTTACGCACCCGTTTACCTCACATTCCTGCACTCCCCTCTGTTCGCACACACACTGGTAGGAGGCTCTGCAGCTAGAGCAGTTCATTTTCTCTTTAAGTTTTAGGTGTAGAATTAATTTTTAGGTGTCCCATTGTGCTGCTGTGTTTTAGTTAAATTTTCACTTTTTAATATTGTTTCAGGTACAAATATGGACAGTTTGTTGAGATAAACAGCCATAGTTTGTTCTCCAAATGGTTTTCCGAGGTAAGGTGGACACATTTTTATTTACCCAATGCAATTTAAAATAAAGTAAAATAGTCCCTGGAAAATGTACACATTTCTTATTTCTTATTGTTCAGTCTTCTTGGTAATGAATGAAGATGTTATTTCTTTAAAGGATTGTGCAGTTATGTAAAATAACTACTGTATGTACAGTATTCTGTTAAGCCGTAATGGAAAAATAGCGTGCCTTAGATATATTCAACATGGAGAAATAACATCTTAAGTTTAAGAAATCCAAGTTAATTTTTTAGATGTTTTCAGAACTGTCTTAATGTACTCTGCATAAAATCCTGTTTCTTTCTGTGATTCTGTTTGGCTTTAGAGCGGAAAGCTTGTTGCCAAGATGTTCCAAGCGATTCAGCAGCTGATAAATGACCCTGATGCTCTTGTCTTTGTTCTCATTGATGAGGTAAGAAGAGTCATTCTCAATTACCGAAGCCTGTATTTTTCACTTTACCTTCTGGGGAAAAAATCAACACAGCTGGATAATGCCAGTAAAATGCAGAACAGCCGAAGAGCCCACACACCACTTTGTTTTACGTTCTGCCGATGTTGACGTGACCAGCTGTTTGTGCATCTGGCAGGTTGAAAGCCTCACCGCGGCTCGCAGTGCCTCGCAGGCCGGCACCGAACCATCGGACGCCATTCGTGTGGTGAACTCTGTTCTGACCCAGCTCGACCAGATTAAACGGCAAGAGCTCTTCTTCCCTTTTCTCTCTTCCACTCCCTTTCCGCTGCCTGAAATTCAATTTCCAATAATCCAGGAGTTTTCAGAAATGTATTCCAGATTTAGAGATGGCTTGAAAGAGCTTGTACAAGTTGTATACGTGTAAAATGCAATTTTCTCTCAATTCTCTCAATTCAGGAGAACTAAAGTGCTATCCTAAAAACCCTAGACACCGCATTTATTAAGAAAAATAAATGACAAAACAGACAATTGAGACCTCCCACCATCTACAATTTTATAGCTCTTTAAAGAAAAGGAGGACAAACACTTCACCCATAAATGACTAAATGGAAATATGGATACAAAATGGGTTTACCAGCATTCTACTTTTCTGATCCCTCTCTCCTTTTCATCACCACCCTTACACCAATTCCATTGGCCTTTGCCTTGGTCGCCAGGCTGTTCCCTCAGACCAAGGGAGTGAATGGCAATTCAGTATCTGGGGTTGCTGTACTATAGTACAGAATTCTCAAGGAATTTAGCTCTTGTGTCAAACACCCTACTTTGGGAACAGCAAAATATGTTGTTTTCACAATAAAAGAGTGAATAATAACAAATTCAATAACAAGTATTAGCAAGAAGTATTAATGATCTTATGCAAGAAAAGTGTCCAGTGGTCGTGGGTAGTGTTAAACTTTCTTCGGTATAATGTTTTTGGCAATGCAGTTTATGCTAATCAATTTTATCCTGTGATTTTGTCTTTTTTTAGGTATCCAAATGTTGTAATACTGGCAACATCCAATGTAACTGAGAAAATAGACCTGGCTTTTGTGGACAGAGCAGATATAAAGCAATATATTGGTCCACCTTCTCCAGAAGCCATTTTCAACATCTACCTCTCCTGTCTAGATGAACTGATGAGGGTGAGTTCTTTATCCCTGTATCTTCACAAATCTGTCAAAGATTGGCCAAAAGGTTAGAATGCTGCCACTTTCCCCACAAGAAGAAGAAAAATCCTCTATTAAAAAGGTTTTGGCTTCCTCAGCTTGCATGCATAAATGTAGATAGTTTTACAGTACAGATAACACCAGTCTCACAAGGAAGCCAACAGACTTCTTTCACTCATAAAAGTTTGAGTATTCAAGTGTTGAATAAAAATATCAATTTAAAAAAATGTCTGCATCATTTGTAGTTCAACAAAATAGGACATCCTTAGAAGGGGTGAATACTTTTATAAGACATTATACATATTAGAATTAAAAGTTTTGCCTCTTGAAAGTGTTGCATTTGAGGAAACACAGGTCCTCATGAGTATTAGAAATATAATCATTATCTTGTTCACACCCCAGGCTTGCCAACCAGAACAACATCAGCAGCCCAAATCTCATTCAGGATATCTCTTTTCTCACGCATGGTGTATTGATATTCTTCCATTTGTTTCAGTGCCAAATAATTTGCCCCAAGGAACAGCTTCTTACCTATCGAGAACTTAAAATGCTTGGCTTCTTGGAGAACAGTGTGTCACAACTCAGTATGTTCCTCAGACGAATTGCATTGTAAGTATGTTCTCATGATTACTATAGTATAACACTGAAGACTTCATTTAGGATTTCAGAATTCTTGAACTGACTTTCAAGAATTCTAGAATAAACATGTCTTAGCTATATAATATGGATGTGTTTTTTGGTTTGACAAAAATGATGTATTGATCATTTGTTGATGATAAATTGACTATAATCATGAGGTTTTTTGTGCATGGCAGAGTTACCTAGACTCCAAACAGAGAAGCATTTTACAAGATATAATAAAAGCAAAAATGAGGAAATGTAACATCGATATCAACGCCTGGGGATTAATGTCTCTTATGGGGGTAATGTCTGATATAGAAGGAGAAAGAATATCTGGAAAGGAGCCCAGTACTTTTGACAACACCTGTTCATCTTGCCTGTATGCAGATCCCATACGGGTGACCTTGGACTTCCCCAATACCATCATCCTTGACAACAGGAGATAGCCATGAATGAATAAGTGCCAATAAGACAATTTTCCATTCCTCTTTGTGTGATAGTTAACAGGACTTCTTTGATCGTTTCAGAAAGAGTAAAGGCCTGAGTGGAAGAGTGCTGCGAAAATTACCGTTTTTGGCTCATGCACTGTATGTTAAGGTAATGTCCTTTTTATTTTAAAAATGCCATTTAAGGTCATTTTAGGTTAGAAAATTATTTGCATGGGAAATGTAGTGAAAGCAATGTACATTTTGGTCTTCATTATTAATTTAATACATCTTTATTTTTCACTTGCTAATTTTTCTTTACGGATTCAAATTAAAGTAATGAATTAATCATCTAGCCAGTAAGTGAGTAAAACATGATCTTAGAAGGTAAGCATGACAGTGTTCTGAAAAGTCTAAGTGAAAGGATCTACAGTTATTGGTGCGAGAGTTGTTCATTTCTATAGAACAAGGAATGCAGATTACAGTGTACAGCAATAAAATCTCCCAGTGGGCACTGTCCCCAGACTTCAATATTACTGAGTGTACTGGCACACCTGGATGGCCCTTGCATCAAGCAGCTGGGTGCTACACATTGGTAGTGGTGGAGGGGAGTCCTCATAGCCTGTAAAGTGCTTTCAGTGTCCATAAAAGCGCTATATAAGTGTACATGTTGCAAAAACCTTTTCTCTGTAACATAACACTTTTGATCAACTTATTCATCTTTCCTGCATTTCTCTTTTCTGAAAACAAACATACAGTTTTCAGTACTGTAAGGTTGTAAGAGCGAATAAAGTAGAGAAAGGAATGTAGAAGCCTCGCAAAATCTTATTCTTTTCCCTTTAAATTATTTTTTTCCAACATGTAATCAGAAGCTGCTGTTGAGCTCTGTTGTGCTGTTCATCTTGTCTTTTCAAGAAGGATTGGTACACAAGGCAGCGCTGCAGGTTTTTCAATGATTGTGCTGTTTTACATTTACAGACGCCAACCGTCACGTTGGAGCGGTTTCTCGAAGCTCTGGCTCTGGCAGTAGACAAACAGTTTGAGGAGAGAACCAAACTGACAAACAGTGTATGAGAAACACCATCCGCCTTCATGTCCAGTTTTGTGCAATTCAATTAAGGGAAAAAGATTTATATGTTCTTTCATTTGATGATGTTTTTGTTTTGTCCTGTACATAACCTTTTTAACATTGTTCTGGAATGTACAAATCCTATAGCACCAGCTGTCTCTTTCCTTTGTCTCTGTATTCTGTAGTTTATTCTGTAATTTGAATCTACAAAGTAGGTCTCTATGCATTTTTATGTTTTTCAGTTATTGTTTAAGGATGTTTGAAACCATGCTTTGTTTTCATCATCAGATAATACTGAAACCCACTTCACGTTATTCAGCATACTTTTCAGTTTTTGGAAAACCTGCAGTGTATGATCTTTTAATATATGTGAAAAACCCTTTGTATGGAGATTGGTGTGCAAAGGCCTATTTATTATTGACCAGGACTTTGGTGCATTTGCATTAATTATCTTTGGCTATTATAGTTTTTAATCTGCATTCAATGAAATGTATATGGCCTACATGGCTGTCTTTTAAAGAACAGATTAGCTCTGCAGCTCTGATGACAAGCTCTTGTCTTTGAGGGAAGTTCATTGCTCTGGTTTTTTATTTTGCTTGAGCTACCAGCTGATTCATTTATCCGAAATTAAATTAAGCACTATTTCCATGTTTTAACCAGAAAAGGGATGACGGGAGACCTATGAAAAGTATGGAAATTCACCCCCTCTGAAATTAGTTATTAGGACATTAAAAAAGCCTTAACCAATTTAAAGAATTACTATTCAAGGCTGCTATGAAGCTTTTCTTTAATTTCCAGAATGAAACATGCAGGAATCCCTCATCAGATATAATACTTAAATAGTCCTGGAAACACCTGTAAAGTGCTAAACACCAGTATAGTGTCATCTCCTCTGGGTCAGGACTGCTCCTTTCTTTCGTGGCAGCCAAGAGCTTTTTCACTCTGGAGAAGTTTCTTCAGCTGTTGACGTAAGAAATGTCTTAAGTTATTGAGCTACTGTGGAGTTATGAGGGATCTGGACTCACAATTGGAAGGTTGTGGGTTTGAATCTTGTGTGTGAAACTGCTGTTGGACGCTTCACCAAGGTACTTCACTCACAAGCCACTGCAACGGTATTAAAAAGATAAATAACCACAGACTTTGGGAATGCCCTGTAAGTGGCATCATTCACATTTTCACTGTGCAAATACACCACAGAACAATAAGCAATAGAAACGTCAGTGTTAAGAGAGCTGGATTGTTCTGTAATGTGCTAGCTCTGACAATAAAACTAATGTTAATAAAGCACTGGTATGTTGTTCTTTTTTTGATGCACAGATATTTATCAAAAACTACAATATGAAAAGTACCCTGGAATTATTCTGAAAGTAAACACAAGGTCTGTTTGAAACTTATTAGAGCAGATGTGACCAGGTGTGTTGACAAAGTCAAATCTTCTCATTTTTTGCATTCTTCCAAGAAAACCCTGAGCCTAAATATTACATCCAGTGAAGAAGGTAGTACTTTATTATCTAGTAAAAGAAAGACAACGCATTGTTTATATGGCGAATATCAGGATTTTTTCCTGTATCATAATTCAGGTTTCTTTGAAATTTTAATATATTTAACATTTACTCTTTAGAACTGTAGAATTCATTAAGTATTGCAAATTTTGATTTAAATACAATAAAGGGGTTAAAATACACTTACCTTAAAATGTGGAACCTACTGGTGAATTAAATTGCCTTGTGTTCACAAAGAAGAGATGGTTGGGATTTGCAGTAATCTTAAAAAATGGCACATCAGAGAATCGGACACTAAGGACTCTAATCTTGCTGTAATGTAACGACAGGGAAAATAGTACTGTAATTGAAAAATGCTTCTGTAATAATGATTTTGTTTTTCAGTCCCAAGGATTGCAAGCCACTTTTCATATTCTAGGTCAAGTGCTTTCAATCCTGATCTGTGGGACCGCTGCAGCAGCTGTTTTTTTTTTTTTCCAGTTGAGCTTATTACTTAATTGAATCCTTAAATTAACTGGAATTTTGCTGGTGGAAAAAGCATTTGTTTCTGTAGCAGGCATCTAACAAGACATTCAGTTCCCTGACAGTGCTGTGAGCTCTACTTGCTATGGGCAAACCATTCTAGAAAAAGGTTGCTGGGGATGATCTTCTATTATGTGATAAGGTGCCATAAACTGGCAATGTTGACTAAATCAAATGGTATCGAATAAGTGAGTAAGGGCATGGTAGAGTTGTCACAGTGCAGCACTGTACTGGTAAAGCTCTGATCCATGGTTGTCCCATGAAATCCTGAGAAAAGAGCTTTTACCTTCCTGTATGGTAATGCCCTAGCACATCCCAGTACAGGACAAAGGACAACACTCAGACATTCCTATTGCACCTGTGAGCCTGCAATGATTGATAGCGGAACAGCTACGACAAGCAGCTTTGGACTTCTTCAGAATAAAGACATGACTTATTAGCATTTTCCTTCCATCTGTTAGCTGATGTACAGATGTCATGTCTACGAATGGGTGTGTATTCCAATATAAATAATGTTTTGGCTCTGGTTATTGACAGTAGTTGATAGTACACTATTGCAATTACTGCAATACGTTGGTACTCAAATATCATTTGGCATGAGATCACATTCTCCAGATTAGACAATTTTAACAAACAATTGTTAATTAAATGTAGTTGTGACAGTAATGTGTATATATTTTTTTTTCATTTTCATTCACATACGTAATAATTTGTTAGTGGCACATATTAGATAATTCAAGAAGATCCATTTTGAGACATTACATAATATTTTTTAATTTAAAAGTTGTATTATCCTAACTGTGCACCAGGCATGCTACTGCATTTGTGACAGCAGTATTTCAAAGGCCTTGTCTAATGTCCTGTTCCACAGATTTTCTTCTTTGCTCAAGTATCAGCCACTGTTGGAGCTTAACCTCTACTAAAATACTTAACTTATGGGTAGATGTGATCCTTGTACAGTCTCTGTACTAGTATTTGCTTTCTGAAAGATGTTTCCTTAAAATTTTAAATAACACACAATTTGATGCCTCTTAAATAGGAGCGTAATTCTTCAGTAAGCAAACTGTGGTGACGATAAGATAAGATCACTTTATTAGCCATATACAATTTCTTCCACAATGAATTTGTCTTTTCAGATACCCCAGCTTGCTCTCCATGAGACACACAGGCAGGGAGAGAGAAGCTTGGGGTCAGAGCATGGGGTCAGAGCACAGGGTCAGCTATTTATACAGCACCCCTGGAGCAGGTGGGGTTAAGGGCCTTGCTCAGGGGCCCACCAGAGTAGGATTCCTCTGCCAGCCACGGGATTTGAACTGGCAACCTTCCAGCCACAGTGCCACCACTCTGCCCTAGTGCACCCTACTGAAAGTCACCTAAAAAGCTCATTCTTTCATGTCTCTGATAGTCCATTGTGTTTTAATTATTTTTCAGAATTGTCCTTTCAGTATTCAGGATTGTGCACATGTTTATTGTTCTTTGCTGACCTGAAGTTATTTTATTATTAATAGTGAGTGGCTAGTATTAATTGGAGTAAATAAGTGCTTCATTTTCATGGGCTATTTATTCACTGGAGAGAAAAACAAAAGATCTTTTATTACCGTTCAGTTAATTCTGTTTCCTGTACATTGCACTTTAACAGATATTGCTAGGCTTTTTATCAGATATATCACCTGGAGTTCAGAGTTGGAGATCAAAGTCTCAAATTCAGCAGGCCAGTGTTGCCGTGCAATTTTGAGGTGCAGTAGTTGAGACAGGTTGGTTTGCAGATTTGGAAATTTTTCAGAATTGTAAAAGTGTGGTAAAGCAACAAAAGATATCAAAGCAGATAGGGATCCTGATATGCAATGTTTAGCATTTTATAGTTTCTTTTATTATATTCATAGGTCCTTTAAAGAAAGAATGGATAACCTTATGTTAGTAACACTTCTGTAGATAAAACAGATGAGCATCATCTGGTACAGAAGTCATTTGGAGATGAAGCACTTCTTATTTCCAAAGATCTGAAGGCATGCATTGCCTAATAAAGAAAGGCTGCTTTTTCTCTCATTTCTTCAGTTCTCCTTTCGTGTAATTTTATGTAAATATAAAACACATTTGAAAAACATATGGTTTATAGTAATGTGCTATTTTGTAATGGAAAAAAAGAATGTGTGGTGCTGCCAGTTTTTGTTTAACAAAATACTTTGTAGTTTTTTTAAGATCAGCATCTTATTAAAGTTCATAGCTGTAAGAAGGCAAGATCTTTTAAAACAAACACACGCTGTGCTTTAGTTTTATAAAAACACAGCAGGAGTTCCAATATATTGTAATGCTGTCTGACCTGGAAATAATTTATGGAGTTTAGGAGATTTTGCAATAGAATGTACCAGTACACCTTAGTATTAGACTTTCAGTTTTGTGTTTCTCTCATCACATCATCATCATCTTGTCTTTTTTTCTTGATTAGATCAAAAATCATCTTCATCATTTCATGACACATATAGTGTGAAGGAAATCACATTTATATTTTGCAACATCTTACTTTGTGACTTATTGATTTATTGATACTGAATGCTGATCATTTTGACATACTGCCCAAGGCTGTTTAGAATCTTTAATAAGCCCTTCAGTAGAAAATGCCTCTAGTTATAATATTTCCACATAATATTAATCTTTTTTTTATCTGCAATAAAGATTCGTCTAGCACTGTACTGATTGTCATTAGTAGTAGTAGAAGTCATTAGTAGGTAGGTAATTCCTCCCAAGACAAAAAGTGGCTCATCAGGGCAGAGATTATCCCAGTTCCTGGCATAAAGCACAGCACTATACCCCTGACAGGCCTCTAGTCAATTACAGGGATTATCCACAGCAGAGCATCTAGTTCCCATATATAAAGCTGGTGGGCCTGGAGCAACTGGGGTACGTCGCTCAAGTTACAATAGTAGTGTCTGTAGCTGGGACTCAAACCCACAACCCATAGGTTAAGAACCTAGAGACCTGACCACTACACTACACCATCCCAATGTGATGTGACCAGCAGCCATAGCACCTTGCAACTCGCAATTGGCAACCCACTGAAGCTAAGCAGGTGTGAGCCTGGTCAGTACCTGGATGGGAGACCTCCTGGGAAAAACTAAGGTTGCTGCTGGAAGAGGTGTTAGTAGGGGCAAGAAGGGGGCGCTCACCCTGCAGTCCATGTGGGTCCTAATGCCCCAGTATAGTGACGGGGACACTATACTGTAAAAAAGCAACATCCTTCGGATGAGATATAAAACCAAGGTCTTGACACTCTGTGGTCATTAATCCCAGGTTGTTTCACGAAAAGAGTATGGGTATTACCTCAGCATCCTGGCCAAATTTCCCATTGGCCCTTACCAATCATGGCCTCCTAATAATCCCCATCTATGAATTGGCTTCATTACTCTGTTCTCCTCCCCACTGATAGCTGGTGTGTGTTGAGTATACTGGCGCACTATGGCTGCTGTCGCATCATCCAGGTGGGTGTTGCACATTGGTGGTGGAGGGGATCCCCATTACCTGTAAAGAGTGTCCAGAAAAAAGCGCTGTATAAGTAAGCAATTCAATAACTAAGTAATTCACTTATTATTATTATTATTATTATAATCATGGCCAAATCGAAACACAACTGTTGACAGTTCTGTGACTGTCCCAGTACATGAATTGAGGGGAAAGGCATTCTCCATGTTAAAAAAAACAACAGAATTCATCCTCTCTTGTGAGAACCTTCCCAGAAACCCTGACCTATCCTACAGAGCACAGAAGTGCTGAAGAGGAATGTCCTACAAAAACCAATCAATGACATTTGTTTTAAGTTTAGTTTTTGATTCCAGTACTGGAAGGCATAAAAAATGAAAGATGTCTTTTGCCTCTTATTTTTGCAGGCTGTTCATATATTTTATAGAAGGTCTAAAATTAAGGGAAAAAATGTCACAAAAGACATGCATGCATGAATTCCTCTTCGTTGGAAAGACTGAAAGTGTTTTAGTTGGTCTGTGGATATGAAACGTTGACCACAGCCTTTCATAAAGTAGCTCAGAATGTGAAGTGGAATCTTGACTGACGCCAGGGATATTGTCCTGTTGACTGAGCTGGGCTTCTCAGAAGCACACCTGTTAAATCTGCTACTGTAGCATTTACAGGTGCTGTGGGCTCTTCAGCAAGAGAACTTTCTGCACTGAGACACTGTGCCCACAAGGGGGTCTCACAGCCTATTTCTAAGAAGGTACAGGGAGCAAATACACCAGTGACAGCAGAATCCTCAGC